AGGCCAGCTTGGAAAGGGCTGGGTGCCTCAGACAGGCACAGCTGGGGGAATGGTATCCATGTTTTGATAATGGGAAGGACACACTCTCGGACGCTGGTGAGATGCCCCCATAGATAAAGCACTTGTGCCCAAGTCTGGCAACCTGGATTTAGGTCTACAGAAACCACGAAAGTGCGATGGTTCACTCAGGAGGCTGAGGCAGGAGGCTCGTCTAGGCAAGCTAGCAAGCGGGATTAGCCAGAACCACAAGCCCTAGGTTCAGTGAGAGACTGTTTCAATAAATAGACAGCCATCGAGCAAAAGACCTGACATCAACTCCAGGCCTTCACACTCATGCATACACATGTGAGTGTGCATGTATGTAAACATGCACATAACATGGGCATGGACACCACATGCATGCACACAAACAAGAAAAGTAATTTATATTAATATTCACACTGTACACCCACTCACAAGAGCACACATACTACATATTCATGTGCAATTACACATACTTGCATGCATGCTCACATACCTATGCACACTGCCTTACACATAAGCAAGCATCACGACATATCTCAACACTTAAGCACTCTGCCACTTCCTGCAGAGAGTATGGTACGCCACAGTCTCTGGGATGATCCCAGGTGGTTCACAAAACCTAGAACATTTACTCTGGTTCTTTACAGAAACAACCTCCAACTCCATTCTACTTTCTTCCGCCCTGCTCTGCTCCCTTCTGTCCTGTTCTGTTCCATGCCATTCCATTAAAAACTCTGACTGCAACTCACATAGTTGACTGCTGCCTGCCAAGGGCTTCAGATCTCAGTGTCAACTCCCTTCATAAGGGACAGCAAACCTCTTACACGTGATGCTCGAGCTCAGCAATGTCTCCTCTTGGAGCCGGAGGCCCTAAGCAATGTCCCTTCTTGGAGTCCCCAGCCAAGACTGGAGCAATGGCCAGCCTGCCTGTCAAGGCTGGGCTGAAGAACACTGGGGGTCCTGCCATGGCATGGTCCCTGATGGGCTTTTAGAGACATGCTGGGTATTATGACATCAGTGACTTTGCAGTGCCCACCTATGCTGTCCTCAGGACCCAGTGGAGTCTGGTAAGGGAAGCTCTGCAAATGTGGCACCCACAGATCCCTCCATGGCCCAACACTGGCCCTGTCCATAGTAGGGCCCATCTCCTCCCTACCATGTGGTCCCTAAAGTGGTCAGGCTCTCCATCCTCCTGCAGGTCACCACATTGCTGCCACTGCTTGATGATCTGCTAAGGCTCCTCCTAGACATGGCCATCCATCCCAACAGAGTTCCTTACTTGATCTAGGCACAGGCTATGGTGCCTCCTAAGCTATGGTTCTGTGCTCCAACTCAGCTGCTGGGAGTTCTCTATAGGCTGCTGCCGCATCCACTCCCTTACCACAAGGTATGCCACAAGGCACGGAAGAGGAAGTTCATCCCCTATGCAGGGCCCCAGTACATGCCTAGCCCTCCCTCTGTGGTCTCTGCATCCCTGGTGGCTGGGAATGGGGAGGGTGTCTGGATGGCTTCCCATGGTCAGGCAGGATAAGTGGCAAGCACCTCTCTTTCTATGAAGGCTGGCTTCAAAGTGGCTGAGGAGGGACAGACCAGGTGTGGAACTCAGCCGCCTGTCTGCCTTGTGTGCAGGCTCTGCTTTCTAGACCGAACTAGCCGCTGTTTTACCAAGAGACCCAGGTCTCAGGACAGAATTCACCCACACCATCCCTCAGCATCTGTCGAGGCATCACCTCGCTCTGCCCCAAGGGAACTGGCTCCCCTTTCAGGGTCACACCAATGTCCATCTGAGCCTGGCTCCATCTACATGCCATCTCACAGACAAAGCATTGTGTTCTGCACCCAGCCACTGTGTGGGCCACAGGCAAGAGGCCCAGGTAGCCTGGGTGAATCCCTTCCATCTGTCGCTTGCCTGCCCAGGTGTTGACCCCCACTCTGCATCTGCATCCAGGGCCAGTGCTGCCATCCAGGCTCTGCACACGTTATTCTTTGCACCCACCATGGTAAATCAAATGGGCTCAGGGTAACAAGGTCATGGGGAAGTCAATGCTCAGGGGGTACCCTCTGCTTAGGCACCTCTGCTCTCAGAGGCCTTCGGGTATTTTCCCTCTGGGATGGTGGTAAATTTTTCCTGCAGGTTCACTGGCTCCCACTTCACAGACGAGGGAACCATATATCAGAGAATGTGTATGGCCTGCCCAAGTTTTTATGCCCGGGGCAGAAGAGAATGGAGGGTTTGGACTCCAGCCTCATCTCATCCCTACAGGAAGCTCTAGATCTGTGAACAGGAACACAACGTGGAGTCCCCTCATTTTGCTCCACTGCCCCACTGCCAGGCACACCAGTTCATTTCAAGAGAAATGTCCCCATCTGGTTCTAATTCATTTATACTTAATTAATCAAAGTGTTTTGTAAGAGACACTTGAGGTCCAAGAACCCCTTTCAAGCCTTTCCTTTCATTCTGTTTTGTAGAAACAGAAAAATTAGGTTTCATCAAAAACCAGTGATGACGCTGGAGTCAGCCAAGCCCAGGTCCATGAGAAGCAAGCCCCAAGGGAGGGGGCATAGACCAGACAAGGCTGGGGCAAGCAGGTCTTTCCCCATGGCTGGATACTAGGCCAAAGACTGAGGTCAAGGGCAGGGTGTGGAGAGGGAGGCTCAGGAAAGCAGGGAAGGGTGAGCCTCCTGCTGGCTTGGGTGTCTCAGTTTAGCATCCCCAAGGCTTCTGACACAACCTGGAGGGGAGGATGCTCTGTAATACTACATGAATAATGAGTGAGTGAGCGAGTGAGTGAGGCATTGCCAATGTCCAAGCATCTAAAGGACACATTCTCTTGCCAAAGTCAGATTAAAGGGTCAAAGTCCATAAGACCCTGGGGGGCCATCTGCATACCCTTCCAACCTAAGTCTGAGAAACGATCCTCATGTGCTGTCTAGTCCCTCTGCACCACCTCCTCCCGGGCTCTGATACACCACACAGCCAAGATCTCTGCCAAACCCTACATTTCCCAAACTTACTTGGCCATGATAACTGTGACTGCCTTGTAGAACAGATTCTAGGATCACGAAGCCTCCACCTCTGTGCTAATGGGGAAACTGAGGCTATGGGCCTCATCCAAGGTCACATAGCATGAATTGGTCAGGAAAGGGACTGAAGCCCAAGGCTTTGCATCACATGAACACAGTCACAACGTAGCTGAAGATGCTGGGCAGGTGTGCACACCTGAGGCTTAAAAACAGCATCTTCATCCAGCCAGACCAATGCAAGGAGCGGCACTCTGCTCCATAGTTCCAGAGGAGGCGCTAGTGAGCTGGGCTGAGGGGAAAGAACAAACTATTTTCATGCTCCTTCCCATCCTCTTCCTTTCACCAGTGAGATGCATCTTAGAAGTCTAACTCCACTCACCTCCAGGGAATAAACGGAGGTTCTGAGAAAGGAAGACTAATACAGCTCACAGGACCTAACAGCACCCTATCATTTTAGTCTGAGTTGCTAAGATCTGATCCTAAGAGCTGAGCCTGCTTATCTGCTGTGCAGCCTTAGACAAGTCGATTCCCCTCTCTGAAATAATTTTCTCTCTAGAAAGTACGTGCCTCTCCCTGCATTCACTGGGCTCATGTAAGTACTCAATGATGCAACAGACAAGAGACTGGGACGATTAACGGTGACAGGGACCATGAGGTGCTGACATAGATAGCAAACCCTCTACCTCTATCTACCACTTCGTCATAGCGATGGTCCTGGTGAAGGAGACTGAAGTATATTACTCCCATTTTAAAAACAAGCTGATAAAAGGAAAGTATCTTAAAAATTGTTTCAGAATGGAGAAACGTCTTGGAGGACCAATGTGAAGGATCTCACACAGGTAAACCTGAAGTCCTTCCCCAAAGTCGCTCCGCTGGAGCCTTCAAAGGAGGAATGTGCATCTAGACAGCTGACTCCGGTGCCTGGGCTCTGGACTCACAGAGGAAACCCTTAAGGACCCCCAAGTCCCTGTACCCGGCCAGAGGTCCACCTGCCTCTCTGTTCTCTGTCACTTTGTCCAACTCCTTTAGGGGTTGGACCCCCAGGCCATGGCCTGCCCGAGAGAGCAGATCAGAGCTTCCACCTGCCTGTGGGACCACTCAACAAAGCAAGCTGCATGGACTTTAGGCTCCTTCTCTATAGAGTGAGCCGGTCACCCCCATTAGGGTCTCATAGGGATGTGAGGAGGCAGTGTGTGGCAGACTCTTGGCACTGTGGTCAGCCTTTGACTGTTGATTCACAGACAAGCACTGAGGGCCCTAGGACCTGCCCCACTCAAGCATAGGGCTTGCTGGTCCTCTTGCTCTCCCTGACAGCACAGGGTCTGTCAAGCGGCAGTCCCAAACTCACCTCCCAAAGACATCTGACTGTGGTACTGGAATTGCGGCATAGGACCCAAAGACAATGTTTTCAGGGCCCCGGCACAGTTAGAGTCTCAGGTTTAGGTTTTCTAGTGGCTCCAGGAGGTCCCAAGGGGGGGGGGCTCAAGGTTCCTAGAGAGGACAGACTTCTTCCATGTCAGCCAGAAAAAGATCACTAGGGAGGTTCACCCAGATCACTTCTGGGAAGTAACAGCAGGAGTCAGGGGCTGTGACAGAGCCCCATGTAGGCCCAGGAGCCGCTGCTCTTGATGTGACCCTCTGACCCAGTGAGGATGCTTGGGTTGGCTTCTAAATCTTAGCTCTGTTTCCCAGTGCCTTGGTTCCAAGGATGGTTCCTTGGGCTTTTTGTCTGTGGAGTTACCCTTGGGACACTGCTGGGAGGCTGGGGCCAGTGAGATTGACCACTGGTCCCTTCCTTCCGTTTGGTGCTTCCTAGGTCCAGGTTGCTCGACAGTCCCCCGTGCTGATCCTGAGTCAGTAACCCAGGCGGCGGGCACCAGACAGATGCCCGCTAGGCTACTAGGAGTCTGCCATGCAGCGCCTACCCCACCACAGTCCAACCACATCTGTACCTTGCTTCTTCCTTCGGTGCAGCGAGAGCATGTCCACCGCGTGGGCGACGAGCAGCAGCAGGCAGAGTGGCGCCCGCATCTGGGCAGCCTGGTGCTCCTGGTGTCCGGGCACCCCGACGACCCGGCAGCCGCTGTGCCGGGACGACTGGTAGCAAGCTTTGCGCATCCGCGGGTGGCTGGTCGCTGTTGGTCGCTGCAGCCACCGGGGACCCGCCGTGCGCCCAGGGCGCGGTGGGTCGAGTGAGGGCGTTTGCTCTGCCGCGCTGCCGGGGCGGGGAGGAGCCGGCGACTGGGCGGTGCTTAACCTTCGGGGGGCCTGTGCGGGTGCAGGAGTCTCTTTCTGCCCCACTCAATCCCCACGCCCCGCGCACGTGCACAGGCCGACTACAGGTACACCCCCCACACACACACGCGCACACACACGCAGTACGGCACACCCACCCGTTCAGACCCTCCAGCAACACCCTCCCTCTGTCACTTCGGGTCTCCTCACCTCCTGCCCCCAGAACCCTCCTGGCTTGTTTTTCTGTTTCAATTGTTTGTCCCCTGACTACCTGGCCTCCAACACTCTACTCTCTGGTGCACTGCCCACCTGGCTTTCTGGTGTCTGACCCTGTCCATCTCTTGGCTCTCAGGGCTGGGAGTGTGAACCACACTGTTCCACTCCCTTTTCTTTCTAGATGTATGAACATCTTCTGGGTGGGACCCAGAGTAGTTCCTGCTGCAGCCTTGGGGAGTCCCTATTCTTTGACCCAACATCCAGCATCTCATAAATTTGTTTAGGAAAGGGGTCTGGGACCTGGAGTGTTTTTTACAATCATATCTCCAGAATTGGGTTAGTTTTCGACTGTTGAAGTGGCAAATTGCTCCTCCAGCAGAACAGCACCCTGCTGCCTCCTGTGACCCTTCGAACCAAGTCCAACTAAGGTGGAGCTGCCACAGAGTTGTCTGAGACCCACGAACTTAGCCTTCTGCTAAACACTTTATGTGAGCTAAAAGCTTCAGAATCTCCAACTTCCTGTTTTCACTAGCTGCACCTTCCAAAGGGGAAGGGATGCTCAGACAGAGCAAATGATTTGCTCAAAGCTGTGCAGCAAGTCAATAGCCTTCCAGCCACTTCTCAGCACACAGTCCCATCACAGAGGTGATGGAGAGAGCCTTAGAGGCCTGAGGACAATCAGGCTTCCTGTTTGCTACAAGTGTGACTTGACAGAAAGAGGTCCCGAGGCCAGCTGCCCCACCCTACACCCTAGCTCACCTGCACCTGCCTGCCTCTGGCTAGCCGCACCTAAACACTGTAGTTCTCTGCCAAGGCCCTCTGATTCTCACGTCTCTGACTTCTGTCTTCTCCCTTTCATCCCAGGTCACCAACTTCTCACCATATTTTGTAAGTTTCTCAAGCTTCTTATACCTGGTTTTTTGTTGTTTTGTTTTTTTATTTTTTGAGACAGTGCCTTATGTATCCCAGGCTAGCCGGGAACTCACTATGTACCTGAGGATGACCTTGAACTCCCTACCATCTTCCCTCCATTTCCCAAGTGCTGACATTACAGGTGTGTAATACCACATCTAGCATCCCCTTACATCCTGAGCATTTCTTGCCCTGGCTTCTTTGTGGAGTGGTGGCTGACCACCACTCCTCTTCTCCACCGACTCGTTCAGGATGCAGTCATGGTCTGACACCTCTCCAGGAAGCTGTCCATGATTCTCAGTCCAGTACCTCTTCTTGGCATTCATAATTCTCCATTATAGATGATTCAACAGATGGTAAGCACAGACATTTCTGCCTCTTTCTCTGCCCCAGCTACCCATGCGGCCTCTTGGTTCCCACTCTTCTGATATATGTCCTTTACAGGGATTTTGCTGTGTCTCTGTAAAACTCTTCCCCAGGTCCCTTCAGAACTTGTCTCCAGCTCCTCAGAAGCCCTCTCCCATCACTGCAGGAGTACAGGACCCTCACTCTGCCTCATCCTCCTCTGCGCTCCACTCACTCTGCCTCATCCTCCTCTGCGCTCCACTCACTTTGCCTCATCCTCCTCTGCGCTCCACTCACTCTGCCTCATCCTCCTCTGCGCTCCATGGTACCAGGCACCACTGGCCCACTTTGGTTTGCAGCTTGCCTGCGTATGAGTTACACAGGGTAGCAACCATCTGTGTGTTTTCCATGTGCCCCGTGCATGCAATGATTACTCAACAGTTTTGAGATGAATAAAAGTATGAATGAGTGAGATGGATGAATGGTTGAGCATTCATTAATCCCAAGGTTTATTGTGGGAACTTGGGGTGACTTGAATGGAAATCTCTCCCACAGACTCAGATATTTGAGCACTTGGTCCCCAGATGGTGGTGCTGTTTGGGTAGGGTTAGGAGGTGTGGCCTTGTTGGAGGTGTGACCTTATTGGAGGTGTGGCCTTGTTGAAGGAAGCATGTCAGTGGGAGTGAGCCTCGGGGTTTAAAAGCCACACAGCATTCCCAGTTCTTTCTTTCTCTGCCTCCTGTCTGCAACCCGTGATATGAGCCCTCAGCTCTCAGCTTCCAGCAGCATCCACCATGTCTGCCATGCTGTTGCCACCATTATGGATCCTAAAATTCTGGGGCCCTAAGTCCAAATAAACCCTTCTATAAGTTGCCTTGATCATGGTGTCTTATCATAGCAACAAAAAAGCAAATAATACCTAAAGAATTTTCTAATCTTGTGAGCCCAGTGAACCCTCCGGGCCCTGCAGAATCTGAGTTTGAGGATTTAAGTCCCAAACTCAGGATCAATTCCCTCCCTTAGATGCTCAGAAGGTTTGGTGTTATTAGGGGTTTTCTGGTCATCTCACCCGGCCATCCAGACTGTCCCCCAGTACATTAAGGAGGGCATTATGAGATGCTGGTGGTCTGTTTAGGAGCCGTGAATCTGAGGTTATTACTCAGGGACTTCTGGGCAGTCAAGAGTAGTGACTTACAGCACAGAAGTAATCCTCTCAGACTGGAGGGCTCAGGCTTCCTCCCTCTTCCACACAGCAGCCCCTCCTCAGCCATGGCTTTCTTTCTCACAGTTTCAGGTGGTGTCAGCTGACAGAAGTCTGCAAATACACAATGGAAAATTACAGGAACAAGTATTCTTAAGTGTGAAATTGTGGCCTGTTTGGAGTAATGCACACCTCCTGTTTAATCTGGTCCTGGATTTGAATGATACCATTTCCTAGTATATCTGCTCTGTATACATCACCCTCCTGTTAATCACTTAGTTTACTAGGCAGTGCTTGTGTTCAAGTCAACATTATGTCATTTATTAATGGTCCCTAGTAGTGACACCAGTGATTTACATATGCCAGAGACAAGCCAGGAAGTGCTTCCTTTAAGTAAAAGGGTAAATGTAAAATAAGCTATCTTGAGGGGGGTATATTATATTCATTTGACTTTTATTACAGTGTATTAATTTTTTTCCTCTTCTTATTAATTGGTGTTGTTAATCTTGTGCCATGCCTGACTTATAAATTGAACTTTATCATAGGTTAGAGATATAGAAAAAATATATATAGTATGTTTTGTTTCAGACATGCACTAGGATGTTGGGAGTATGCATCTTGGAAAAGGGTGACTTCTTGACATGTGACTTCAAGCTTCCTGAGAAGGGCAAGGGCTTATGGAGAGGACAGAGCTGTTCATTTATGTCCTGTTGACTGGAACTCTGCTTCCCTTGCAAGGGTAGCTGGGAAATGTAGTCTAGTCCAGTAGCTGGAATCCACATAGGAGGCAGGAAGAGTGGGTGGAGAGCTGCAACCAGAACACCTGGACTTCCCATCAGGTTGATCACAGGCTCCCTAGAGTCACTCGATGGCTCCTGCTCAGAGGATCAGCAGCCCAGGTTTGCCAGCGACTGCACTGTTTCCAGAATGCTGTGTTATCTCACTGCACAGAGCTTGGTTTTGGCATCACCACAGTCAAGATTCCTAACAGAGCCACCACCACCACAGGACTCCCACATGGTACCCTCATGGCTCTGCCCTTCCTCTCCCTCCTCAGCACTAATCCCTAGCAACCGCTCATCTGTTCTCCATCTCTGTAATTATGTCGTTACACAAATATTATGTAATGGGCTTGCGAAGTGTGTACAGTTTGAGACCAGCTTTCTGCACTCAGCATAACTTCCTTGAGAGTCACCCCATTTTGCTCATGCGCCACAGTCGGCTGCTTTTTATTCCTGAGTGGCCTTCCATGGTGGCGGGCATCAAATGTAGTCACCCAGCAGTTTATTTCATTAAAGACATTTGCATTTTCAAATTTTGCTTATTATGAATAAAGTCACTGTCTGTTTTTTCTATGTACTAGATAAAAAGTGCCGTGTTTGGTATTGTGATTTTCAAAAGTTTTCTTCTGCTCTGTAATTTGTCTTTTCATCTTCTTACCAAGCTCTCTCACAGAGCAAATATATTTAACTTCAATGGGGTCCCCTTTATCATAGTTTACTTTTTATAAATCATGCTTTGTGTTCTAGTTTGCTTTCCTGTTGCTGTGACAAACCAAAAGCATCCTGGGGAGGAAAGGGTTTATTTTAGCTTACAGGTTTCAGTCAATCACTGAGAGGAGCCCAGGCAGGAGCTCAAGGCAGGTGCTCGAAACAGACACCATGGCGGAAAACCACTGACTGGCTGGCTCTGCTAGCTTTCATATACAGCATAGGATGGTATTGTCCATAGTGGACCAGGCCCTCCCACATCAATTAACAGTTAAGAACATGTCCTATATACATGCTCACAGGCCTGCCTGATAGAAGCAATTGCTCAATTGAGTTTCCCTTCTCTAAAGTGTGTAATATTGACAACCAAGATTTGCTATCACACTTCAAGTTTCAAGTCCAAGAACATTTTCTAGTATTAAGTGTCAAAGGTTTTTTCCTATGACTTCCTAAAAATGATATGTCCATGTTTAAGTCCGTGAATTGTTTTGAAATTGTTTTGTGAAAAGTGTGGGGTTTAGGTTAAGATTCATCTTCTGCTTGGGAATATCCAGTTGCTCTCATATGGTCTGGTATTACTGCCTCCACTAGTATTAAGTACTCTGCTTCCATTGAACTGCCTTAACTCTTTTATCACAAATTAGTTGCACATACTTGTATGGATTTATTTTAGGATTTTCTATCCTGCTCTGTGGGCTGTATATCTTTTTGCCCATCAACACTACCTTTGGGGACTTAGGAGATGGCTAAATCAACAATGTTCCTGCCATGTAAGCATGGGGACCTGAGTTCAGATCCCCCAGCACCCATGTATAAAGCTGGACTCAGCAGGCTCCAATTGCAATGCTGAGGAGGCAGAGTCAAGC